ATAGTTGGGAGTCCTTGTCAATGCTGGTTAACAGCTCTAAACGGGGTATATATAAGTAATTAATTAACCCTAAAGAAAATTAAAATTCATAATATTAAGTGGCTATGTTATAGAAACAAATAGTATTAGGAGTGATTGAAATGATAGCTTTAGCCTTGTCTTCACCAGAATCCTTAAGCCATTAAAAGGTCAATCAAATAATACAAAGTCTATGTCCATGTCTATCCTCTACAATGAGAAAGGATGAATTCCAGACGAGACAAAAGCAGTGGGTAATGTCCATGTCTATCCTCTCATTTATTGATTAATTTCATTTTCTTAAATGAGATTTGGGCCCATTTTAACGCCATGTTCCAAAAGCAGTGGATTACCCCCAAGGACTTCAGCCCTGTGTCATCTCATTCATTGAGGGATCACAACCCTAGAGAATGTATCTTGAGGAACAGATTTCCCTTATCAGTTGGCTGAAGCATGTGAAAAGAGAGGGACATTGGAACAGGTTGGAATAAAATTTTACCTCCAGTCGCCATAACCTCTGTGCAAGAAACTCTCATACCAATAAGTGTATTGATCGAAACCGCTTTTTGCTTCCTTGGATCGAACCCCACTGGACTTTGATTCCTTGATTCGGATTAATGTAGTCGAGCTACTCAACAACTACACACTGATTGTAGTCGGTGACTTGCAAGAACTGTAATATCCCCTTAGACCTTTAGTAGATCTCTCTTGTGTGTTAACTCTTTAGTTTAGTGCTGATAGGGAGCACTCTCTTGGGAGAACAGGATGAGGGTGAAGCTTGAAGGAGAAAACCAAGAGGGATCACACACCTAGGGGAGAGGGGTCCTCTCTCTCTTGTCATTCTATTAGACAATCTTCCTATCAAAGGTCTTGCCTAATTAGAGGGAATTTAATTCCCATAAATTTTGTCAATCAATCAGCCCCATGGTTTCCAAAATAAATGGGATATTTAAATTCAAATTTGAATCTCACAAATCCCTTAATTAATGGGGCTGTTTTATTAGGAAATTGTTTAAGTCCAACACCCTCATAATGAGCTCCAATTAGGGTGATTGGATTTGGACCAATTCAGTCTGGATCGTGGCCACCATGATGGGCCACAATTTGGGTCCTGCCCAACGGGTAATATTTTTTCTAACAATCTCCCACTTGGCCCGAAAGGTGGCCATAGAGAAAGATACATGTATGTATGTATGTATGTATATATATACACACACGAACAGTTGGCTTGATTAAGAACAATGAATGTGTAAGTATACACATTCAACCAAACCACTTAGGTAGTTGCTAGCATAATGTAAATCATGGCGGTACCCTCGGATTATACAAGTTTTCTTTCATGTACTATACAATTACGCATCACAACCCTTAGTGTATGGACCTTGTTGTGTTTCCAATCCATAGTCTGTCATCTCATATATATGCACAATATGAAGGACCACGGGACATCTGCAAATACAGGAGGCGCCGACACGTGTCACTAAATTAAACTGCATTCATCCAACGAACTGACAACACCCATGTTTTTCACATGGTTTTGATAAATCACTGGGGACAACCCCTTGGTCATGGGGTCTGCTAACATTTTGTCAGTTTTGATATGTTGGATGTCTACGTTTCCTTCTTGTATTATGTCCCTTACTACCAAGTACTTCAAATCTATGTACTTGCTTTGGCTATTGCTCTTGTTATTTTTGGAGAAAAACACAGTTGTCGCATTATCACAGTGAAGTTGTATTGGTTTATCTACATAATCCAATACTAGGGTGCCCAGGCCGATAATAAAGTTTTTCAGCCATATTGCATGTGTCGTAGCATCATGGCACCCAATGAATTTTGCTTCCATCATGGAGGAAGCTCTCAACTTCTTCTTGCTGCTCCTCCAAGAAATTGCTCCTCCAGCAAGTAGAAATATATACCCCCATGTGGACTTTCTAGTTTCTGGGCAACCACCATAATCCGAATCAGTGTATCCACACAGTTTCGGTTTGCCCCCTTTCTTGTATGTGAGAATATATTGTTTGGTTCCCTACAGATACCTAAGCACTTTCTTTGCAGCTTCCCAATGTTCCCTACCTGGGTTACTTTGAAATCTACCCAGTACTCCCACTGCAAACGCAATGTCAAGTCTTGTGCAAACCTGTGCATACATCAGGCTGCCAACGGCTGATGCATAAGGAACTTTTTTCATATTCAATTTGAGGACAGCTTTCACTGCTAAGCTTATCTCCTTTGTGAATGGGAACTACAATTGGTGCACAGTTTTCCATTCCAAAGCGTTCTAAGACCCTTTGAATGTAGGTCCTTTGGGATAACCCCAAAACTTTACGGGCTCTATCTCTCAGAACCTCAACCCCTAGGACATAAGAAGCTTCTCCCTTGTCCTTCATGTCGAATTTTGGTTTTAGAAATTCTTTTGTTTGGCGTAACAGGCTTATGTCCCTACTAGCTAACAAGATGTCATCAACATATAACACTAGTAGGATGAAACTACTCCCACTAACCTTATGTACATTGATCCATTGCATTTTCTTTGTATCCGAAAGATGTAATTACATTGTGGAACTTGTAGTACCATTGGTGGGAGGCCTGTTTCAACCCATAGATTGCCTTCTTTAGTCTGCAAGCCATATCTTCCCTGCCCTCCGCTTTAAACCCTTCAGGTTGTTCCATGTACATTTCATCTTCCAAATCACCATTCAGAAAGGTTGTTTTCACATCCATTTGATGTAGCTCCATGTCATAATGAGCTACTAACGCCATGATTATTCTAAATGAATCTCTCTTAGAGACAAGGGAAAAAATCTCATTGTAGTCAACTCCTTTTTCTGTATTATACCATTTGGCCACTAGTCCTGCTTTGTAATCAGCCCCATGGTTTCCAAAATAAATAGGATATTTAAATTCAAATTTGAATCTCACAAATCCCTTTTAATGGGGTTGTTTTATTAGGAAATTATTTAAGTCCAACACCCTCATAATGAGCTCCAATTAGGGTGATTGGATTTGGACCAATTCAGTCTGGATCGTGGCCACAATCCGGGTCCTACCAAACGGGTAATTTTTTCTAGCAAAGCTTTCCTATAAATGTGGTGAAAGACAACTGGCTTGTTGAGTTACGAATATTGAAGAGTTTTCATGAGTTCAAGTTCAACCACTTCTGTAGACATTGTGATAATATACTTTTTTTATTAGCAAAGAAATTAATTAAGCATTAAAATAATTTAACGCTTGTTACAACATGTTGGAACACTCCAAAAATACCCAAATACAAAAATCTATACTTTTATCCAAAAAAAAAAAAAACAGATGTCTATTGACCCCCTGCTTTTCCAGTACATCAATCATTCCATTTGCACATCTTCTAATCCAATTAAAAGTGGTGCTGAGTTACCTTGAAAGGTAAGCTATGTCCCTAATGTGTGTATGTAAATCCAAGGAGCTAAATTGTTTTTTATTGTTTAATATATGACCAGTTTTCAATCCCCTTCCACTTCCAAATCTTGGAGACCAAGCTGTTTTGCTAATCTTAGTTCTTGCCACAGTGCCATAACAGTTCAGCTCTAACTGAGTCACCAGCTCCAATTGGCCCAAAATACATACCTTACCAACCAGCTTGTTGGCACCTTGTTACATAGTGAGAGTCATAAAGCTATTCTTATGAAGAATTGATAAGATTGCCTTCATGGGTGGTTATAAGGCCAAACATATTGATAAAGTGAGAGTCATAAAGCTGTTCTTATGTGGTTTATCATTTGGTTTTGTGTTTTTAGTCCTTTCAACTATCCTACAATTAATGATGCAATTCATAATTTGGATAAGGTAACTTAGGGGTCACTTGATAATAGCTGAATATGCTGAATTATTAAAGCATATTGCTTTGTCTTTTAGTGAATAAGTTCTTAAGGAAGTTGTGGACTCCTTAATGGCATAAACTAAAGTTTGGTAGATTACTATGGCTACATTTGGTATTCCATATTTTAAGGACTTATCTCCTTTTTGCACTTATATATAATTTAATAGTGACTCCCATTAACAATATTTCCAAAAAAATGTCCTTATTTAAGCTTTGGGCCTTGCACATCACAAGGCTAAAGGCTTAAAGGCGTAGGCCTCTAACAACTCAAGGCCTAAGCCTTGGCAATGGAGACAAAGGGTATTGAGGCCAGACTTTTTTGGTCAGCCTTGCCTCAATAGCCTTTTAAAACCATGTGAGAAATAGTGAGAGCCTCAAGGTCATGTTTAGTTTGATAGATGGTAAGAGAGACATGAAAATCAAGGGAAAGTTCTTATTTTCTCGACCTTCTATTTCTCTTTTATTTTCTATCAAACCATATACAACCTAAAGACCAAAACAAGGTGAAAAATTAAAACTTTGTTATGTTTGTGCCTTGAGTTATTTGTGGCGACCCGCTTCATGAATCTGCCCCGAAATAATTTGAGAAAAAACCCAAAGGCAAAATTTCATAGTGGTTTGTACACTGGTCTTTTGTCTTGTGAGAGAAGAGACAGACATTGCATGTATTTTGGGATTTTACAGTTTTTTGTGAGTGAGGTTGTCAGTGCACAACTCTGAGTTCAGTTCGTTTTTTTTTTTTTGAATAATAATAATTGTTTACAATTTTATAGATAAATATATTGAAAACATTGATTATTATACAAATGCTTATAAAAATGAATATTATACAAATGAAAGAAGTAGCATTGATGTTTACTAACAAGAAGTAAAAGAATAAGAAACAACCAAGAAATGATCTAATACTAAGGTTTAATGCTAACATATCCAAAATAAATGCATGGGAGGTTTAAGGAATAGCATAGAAACGCCATTAAAGGGATTAATAATCCAATGAATACAACAAAAGAACAACTTCGATCTTAGGAGAAATAAGCAATCACAACATTACAATCAGGTTAAAGACAGAAAGCTTCATCTCATGGGAAAAAATAATAAAGAGGAGAAAAAAAGAAAGAACACATACCTACACATTGATTCAGCCAATATGATTTTAGGTTTTAATTTTTTTTTTTTTACTTGAATATGCAACGACACCTCTTCTCTTACTATTTGCCTTTCTCTTTGTTCTCTCTGTATTTCTATCTCTGATTTCTCCTTTTCTTATAGGGTTTTGTTTTTGGACTTAGAACATAGCCGTAGCACCTCCTCTATCTCAACAGTGATAGCTCGTCTCTCTTTATACTCGGTGGCACCTCCTCTCTCTCAGCAGCGACACCTCCTCTATCTCGACAACGGCACCTCCTCTCTCTCAGCAATGGCACCTCCTCTCTCTCAGTAGTGGCACCTCCTCTGTCTCGGCAGCGGTACCTCCTCTCTCTCAATAGCGGCACCTCCTCTCTCTCTCTATACTCAGTAGCTGACACCTTCTCTCCATACTCAACAGCCGGCACCTCCTCTCTATACTCTCCTCTCTTCTCTTGCTTTTCTTTTCTTATTTTCCTCTCCTTCGTTCTCTCGGCAACCGCACATCCTCTGTAAACCTCACTCTCTAATGCTCCCTTTCTTTTCCTTCTTTGTGCGTGCGGGTGAATGTTATTTTAATTATTTTTTTATTTATTTTTTTTACTTGAAATAAATTAGGATGCTGTCTTATGTGTGGGTCGGGGCAAGGCTGGGCATTAGACCTGGGCCGGGTCGGGCTTTCATTTGTCACTAATGAAAATATATCAGGCGAGCCCGAGTCTGACCCTGGTAAAAAGCCCGAAACCCGAGCCCGAGCCCGAAGCCCGACCTAATTGAAAAAAAAAAAACAATTTTTTCTACTCAAATTAGAATTAAATTAAAAATTCAGATTTTTCTATTTAAATGAACAATGAGCCTCCAAATGGTATTTTTCCCTTTCTTTTATATTTTAAAACATAATTTTATATTCTTAAATTAAAAAATTTATTCAAATGGACATAATCACATAACTAATTTTAAGTTTAATATTAGGTCGGGCCGGGCCGTGCTCGGGCCAAGCTATTTTGATAAAACCCGAGCTCGGCTCAAATTTATTGTGGGTCGAGCTTTTTGGCCCGATTTTAAGCCTACAGGCCTATAAGCATGTTCAAGCCCGTCCGGGGGTCGGACCGGGCCGAGTAGGCCCGTCAGGCCACCCGGCCCATGAACAGGTCTACTGGGCATAGAGTGAGGTTTTGGGTGTGGGTCAAATAGGGTTAGGCATCCAAACTTATCCCATACTTGAAAGTAATAAATTAATTATTTTTTGTCTAGAACTAATGGGATTGCAGGATTTGTTTTCAAGTTTCGGTTCAGGTAGGCCTGATGCCCGAAAATCCGAAGCCTGATTTAACATCCGATACAATTATTTTGGATTCAAATGATGTGTTTATGCAATTAGATTGGATCGGATTCAAATTTCACCCCATTTGGTCCGATTAAAATCTAAATTCAATTATATTATAATATTTATTAATTTTAATATATAAATTGTATATAAATATATTTAGAAGTGTAAAAATATATTTCATATATTGTATAATATATGAATTTATATATAATAAATTTATTATGTTGTATTTATAATAATTTATTATATATAAATGTTGAAAATAAATAAATTTATTTTTTTGATATTTTAGAAATTTTATAACATAGTCAAATTAAATTCGTATTAGATCCAAGTCAATTAGGATTTGAATTTGAATCCGAGTCTTTAAATCCAATCAGATTTCAAATCGAATTCGAATGTAATCTCTTAATAATCGGATTGGATGTAAATTTTATTGCATCCGATCTAAGTCCGTTTCCTTTACAACTCTAGACTTAGGTAAGGTAGGACATCGAGACTTACCCTTATTAATTAATTATTTTTTTGACTTGAAATAATGGCAGCGTTTGACATCCGGATTTGCCCATGTTGGAAGTTATTTATTTATTGGACTTGAACTTATGGGACCTTTTGTGTGTGGACCTAGGCAGGATTAGGCATTCAAACTTATCCATAGGGATGACAGTTCGTAGGAAATTTAGGGCATTTGACCTGTCCTAACCCTAATATATAGGTAGGAATGGCAATGGAGAGGGGTAGGGTGGGGCAGGGCTGGGTTTTGCTTATTATATCCCCGACCCCAAACTCAAATGCCCACCCCGTCCCTGTCCAAAACCCTAGCGAGGCTAGAAATCCTAACCCCATCCTTGTTCTCGTAGGGAATGAGCCAAAAACTAAAGTGGATTTGGGGGGTTAGCACCTGATTGATCAGATCTCGAGTCTATGACTCAAAAGTTGAGAGAGAGTCTTTTAGATTACATATACTGGTGGCATGAAAAGGCGGCTAAATTATGGCACCCGATGCCAAAAGAAAAGATGGCGAGGTTATTCATTAAGACATTAAAAGATCCATATCATACTTATTGATTGCATAACTTTTGAAGGATTGTAGTGATGTTGTGAAGGGAGCTATTAGAATTGAAGAAACACTTAGGCATGGTCAAATCAACCTAGTGATGATCCCTAAATATTCACCATCAGTTGAGAAATCCTCTCCAAAGTATAAAGAAGAGAATGAAGTACAAGCTATATTTGCTTTTGAGTCTTAGTTACCTCGAGCCCATTAACTGAAAAGTTTTAAAGCAGCACCTTATCCAGGATCTCAGACCAGTTTGACCGCCCCCCAAGCAAACATATTATCCTTCACCGGCACAAGCACAAACATGTTACCTCCATTCCATAACTCCGATCACTTATCATCCTCCCCAAAAGGAAAGGAGAAATATTTCCCCTTTGCCATGTCCTCATTCTTAGCTATTCCCTGCTTTAGTTTAAGGAGAATTTTTGTAGTTGCTTACATAGATACCTCCTTGAGAGCCCAAGCCTAGAGATTATGATGAAAATGCTCATTGTGATTATCATCAAGAGATCAGTCACACCACCAACCATTGTTAGTAGTTGAAGCTTATGATTCAACATTTGTTTGATGGGAGCGTTCTTACTTACCAGGACCTTGTGCAAATGCAACATTTTATAGAAGTCAACCAGAACCTGCTGCTTGATTCAGGGGAAAAATTTGATACTTCCGTCAACTTCCTAGGTGAAGGAAATACTCTTTATGATCCTAACATTCCTATAACTCTAGTTGGAATTCTGCTTGTAGTCCATTCTCCTAGAATCACTACAAGAAAAATGGTTTTTAGCCACGATTTTTCTAGAAATGGACAAGAAACAGTGGCTAAAATACCATATATAGCAACGTAATATATTATTCGTGCAATATGATCAATTTTAATATGCAGCCTAGCCACGGTTTTATAGCCGATGGCTTAAATGGAATTTGATGAGACGGTTATAAAATTAACCATTGCAACAAATCCTTCATTTTTATCTAGGAAATATGAACCATGCTATTTGATTGCATGACTATTTTCAAAATTTTGGCCACTTAAGAAAAGTGACCCGCGCATTCCTTACTACTCCCATCTTTCTCTTGTTCTCTTCACTCTCTCCATTTTCCATTATCTCTCGTTCTCTCTTCACTACTCTCTTTCTTGCTTGTTGGTTCTCTACTCTATTATTTGTGTTTGCTCAGTGTGCAAGGATTTGTAGGAAGGGTTATTCATGCTCTCCTCTTCTCGCTCATGGATTCTTATACATGTAAGAATTCTTCTGCTGAAATTTATTTTTGATAAAATAATTTTGATGAGCATTAATTGGGGTTACGATCTCTGTAATCGATTGGAGGAATGGTAAATCTATAGAAGATAGTTGAAAATCTGTAACGACAAGAACAAATTGACATAAGCCCCCGGGCTTCCACTAGTCCATCTCTCTGTAAAAAGGAAACAATAAAACCTAAGGCTTAAGATCGTCCATAAGCTTCCCCCTAATCCATATTTGATGATAGAGTAGCCATATCTGAATTGTTCCCTCTTCTAGCAACCAAGAAAGCAATCGATAGTAGAGAGAAACTCTCAAAGAAATTTACTATATCTCATCTCCACCGAAACCCCTCTTTCTCATCCATCGGATCTATCATTCAAAACTCTGTTCAAGCATCCTTCTTCGTCGAGTAATCAAGAAGGCTCCGACGACTGCATCTTCTTCCTCCTTACCCAAGAATGACAACTCTAGTTCGAGAGTTTCCTCCCAAAATCTAGTCCAGCTGCATGATAGAACGCTTCCTCCTCCTCCTTTGTTTTGGAACTTGCTCTAACAATGTTGGCTTCAATCGAATGTCATTGTGCATAGGGCAACAATATGCATGGTATGAATGCATCATAGCTAATCACCACCCACTATTTGGGGTTCTGAGGGATATGAGTCGTAGTAAATTTCTTCAAAAGTTTCTCTCTACTATCGATTGCTTTCTTGGTTGCTAGAAGAGGGAATAATTCAGAAACCCTAATGTCGCATGCCCTTTCTTGGAAAAGAAACCATAACACATTGGTGTTGGCTTCATGATAAAAAAAACTAATGTGCATTGGCTTCTAGTGAACTAGAACTCAAACATCTCCAACCTAGTGTGATTGTTCAAAGCCAAATGTGTTCATCTTGTAAAGGACTGTCTATAGTAGTTGTTTTGTTTTATTGCACCATTGAACTTCTACGGCTGCCCTACACCCAACTCCATCAGAGAAGGGGTCTAATAAAAGGCTAGAGATTGAAGCAGTGAATCAAAATAATGGGACAAATCAGGTATTAGAAAATCATTTTACCCTAAGTCTATTTATGTTTTCTTCTATTATGTGATTCACTCTAATCGTTTTCCTAATTTGATTTGAGTTACTCAAATCATTAAAGATTGCCATCTCTTCTCATTCAAATTAAGTATTTGCTATCGTTTTTTCTTGAGGTATCATCCTATTGCATCCAAGACTGCAAACAATCAAGATTTATTTTGGATCTGATGCTGTGAGCATGTCAATGATGGTGAACTAGAATTCTGCTACATCTGAGAGCGGATTGTTTAAGACATTTCAGCGAAAACAACTAAGCTTTTTCTCTTTGCTTTTATTTATTTTATTCTCAAGAAATGCATGTTGCATATGGATGAGCAGTTCAGAATTATTGGTTTGAATTAGTTTTTGTAGCCAATCACTTTGGGGATTTTAATTGGTGTAACCATCCCCTTGCCTATTTCTTAGCTTGAGCATTGGTGTAAAACTACTAAAAAACTTGATTCTTGGACCCCTAATGCAAATGTAGTTGGTAAACAAGCCGGTAGTGCTGGAGTTAGTTGTGAAGAATTTAGATATTCATTTTGAAGGCAATAAGGAGCACTTTGGATCTATCTATGGCATGATCTTATGAAAATATAGCCTTCACATAGCTCAATTACATCATAATAATCATATCTCATCTCCTTGAGGAATTCAAAGCTATGAGGTTCATCATGAACCAACCACCATCAAATCCAGTGTGATTTCTTCATTGACTTGACCATTAGAGGATTGCAGGAAGTCCTTGTTTTATACATAAAGGCACTATATTACAACATTTGTGTCTTGTTACTTAAGTAACCATAAAACTTAATTTTTGATAGGCACTCCCTTAAGAAACCAAGA